AAAATTACTTTTTTATGGGGGTGCTAACTTAAGCGTACTACTATTTCGCCCCTAGCCACAAAAACACATTCATCAAATTTATTGGCAACCCCAATAATTAACCGGCCATTTTATTTGGCCAAAATCAGAATAATGCTTGGTTGTGCCTGTCAGGTATCAAGATGTCAACTATGATGTGGGAATGGCTCTTAAATGTAAAATTATTTAAAAATGTATGCTTCTTTTGATATTTGTTGCAAGTAATTTGTAGTGTATCTCAATTAAGGCTTTCCATAAATAAATGTGCAGCAAGACAGATATTATAATGTTCTTATACAAAGCACTTTTTTATTAAACAGTGAGCACCATAAGTCTTATCCCCCCCCTATCTAACTCATTACTGGAGTCTTGTTAGGAAAATCGCCAAGACACGTCGATTTTTGATTTCTACAATGTACATTTTTGTATGAATAGTTTACCCTTAATTTCATCCCTTACTGGAGAGGAGCAACACTTTCGAAAAATTTAAATGGCATGGGGTGGTGAGTGATAGCTCATTTGAAAGAGGGTTTTATTCTCTATTCAACCGTGTAAAAAAAATTGAAATTTGCTTCATTAATTCTCGACTAATTGTTGTTTCAGAATAACGGAAATTAACGTAGCGCACTCATCCTTATAATTAAAATTCGGCACTGCATGATTTCGATTTTGGTTCAGACGTGAAGTAAGACTTTTTTCCATTAGAAGGTCACTGTTAGTCTAGTTGCTTTCCTATTTTGTGAGGTTTTGTTATTTTTAAACATTAATAAATCAACACGTAATGAAGCAAATTTCAAAATTCACTGTATAAAAGAGAGGTAGGATATAATGCTGGTTTACATATTCAACCAGCGAATTGTAAATAATAATTAGTAAACTTCTTGAGGTTACTTTTGAATACATTTATTGTTTTTTTTTTAATTTCTGTTGACAGTCAATTGAATTTTTTACACCTTTAATAAAAATTATATTTTGGGAACTTTTAGTGATGGCTTGCCGTACATGAAAGTCAGATTGGCTTCTTGTATTATAATTGTGATATTGCGAATTATATTGAATTTTTTCTAATAGATCTGATGCGATGGTACTATGTCATTTTTATTTTATAAATAAATATCAGTCATGTACTGAATATAATTTTTAACTGAAAGCCAATTTATTTCTTTTAACATAGTTGTAATACTCATCCTTCTATCCTTTATGTCCTTTATTAGAATATAAATAGGCAAAATAAGGAGCCCAAATATTTTACATAAGCAGGCTTAAGACGTAAAAGGGCCAATTATTATTGGAAAAATTGCTCGAACAAGTTTTTAAACCCTAATCAAAAGGCGATATAGAATGGTTTTAAAAATCAAGGCTTGTGAAAATCATCACATGGATAAACCTAAGTAATGCCAATGTTTCACAAAACAAAAAATTCAACGTCCTAATACTACTATAGGCTTTCGGTCTTTCGTTCCAAGTTAAATCATTTGCTTTTAGTTAGGAGGTAGAATATTGATTTAATATTAAGTGGTCGTGGACAAATTAGTTTCCGATTGAAGTAACTTTTTAATCTTTTTTTTTTTTGGTATGTGGATATCCCTTATAGAGATTGGGTACAGGTTCTCCCTTTTCCAATAGTTTGGGACTCCCGGATCATTAGTGCAAGTCAGGCTTATCATTTACCCACTAAACGCACCCCTGAGCAGGTAATATCTTTTACTTGTCCGTTGGGACTACTTTATTGATTTTTTTGAGTATCTATCGACCTCGTATGGTTGATTCTCCGGTCTCAAGTGCATTAACACGGCCAGTTGGCGAACCTAAAGATAAATCTAGCGGTGTTTATTATTTTTGCGCACAGACTATTTTACTGGAAACATTTTTAACTTCAAATTATTTTTGAGTTACACAAAAAAGTACATTTCTTTATTAGTTAAGTTCGTTTCCATATTTAAAGAGACCAAAAAAAACTAAAATTAGTCATGTGCAAATTGTGCAGATGATTTTGCTGCTAAAACATAACGTCTAAATTGTTATTTTTTAGCATTTTGGAGATAAAAAATTAAAATAAAGGGGGTTTTAGTAACTTTAACACGTTATATTGAGGATAATTTAATCCTTTATGATGTTGGTACGACATGCAGTGATTAATTAAACAGTAATAATTATGATATTTGGTTCTTAATACGAACTTTTAAGTACATTTTATTGTAGTGTACATGCATACAAGTACCAACAAAATATGTAACTTCTAAAAATGTGTTTAGTTTTAAAATAATATAAAAAATAATTAATTTTAGTAATAAAAATCATCTACTCAAAAATTAAAAGCATATGATTAAATTTTTTTGTGTGCTTTTTTCAAATATGGATACAAATTTAACGACTTGTAGTGTGTTCTTATAAGGATGGACAAATTTATAATTTTTTTTTTAAAAGATGGAACTGCATTGTGTTTCTTATTAATGCCTTAATAGATTATGGTAAGTTGTAGAGAATACATGTGCCAAATTTCAATAACATAATAGCGGTTGGTAAGTTATGAAACAAGAAAGAAATTGGCAAAGTTAATAAAACTACCTGTATCTCGGTTATAAAGTAAGAATATTTGGAATCATATCAGAAGCATAAAAAAACTAAGTATTAAAAAAAAAGAGTGAAACTTCTTAGATTAATTCACTCTAAAATAAAAAAAGACAAATAAAATCCGCGTACATCAATATTTATCGCACAGCTACTTGAATATACTATTAAGGTTATAACTCTAAACGGCGATGCACGAACGACGATCGTTTGCAGTCGTTTTTATGAATTAGCTCATCATATTTTTTATGTATTAACTTTGATTTATATAAATTTATTTAAATTTATTTAAATTTATTTAAATTTATTTAAATTTATTTAAATTTATTTAAATTTATTTAAATTTATTTAAATTTATTTATATTTATTTAAATTTATTTAAATTTATTTAAATTTATTTAAATTTATTTAAATTTATTTAAATTTATTTAAATTTATTTAAATTTATTTAAATTTATTTAAATTTATTTAAATTTATTTAAATTTATTTAAATTTATTTAAATTTATTTAAATTTATTTAAATTTATTTAAATTTATTTAAATTTATTTAAATTTATTTAAATTTATTTAAATTTATTTAAATTTATTTAAATTTATTTAAATTTATTTAAATTTATTTAAATTTATTTAAATTTATTTAAATTTATTTAAATTTATTTAAATTTATTTAAATTTATTTAAATTTATTTAAATTTATTTAAATTTATTTAAATTTACTTAAATTTATTTAAATTTATTTAAATTTATTTGAATTTATTTAAATAAATTTATTTAAATTTATTTGAATTTATTTAAATTTATTTAAATTTATTTAAATTTATTTAAATTTATTTAAATTTATTTAAATTTATTTAAATTTATTTAAATTTATTTAAATTTATTTAAATTTATTTAAATTTATTTAAATTTATTTAAATTTATTTAAATTTATTTAAATTTATTTAAATTTATTTAAATTTATTTAAATTATTTAATTATTTAAATTATTTTAATCTATTATAATTTATTTTATTTTTTTCATTTATTTTATTTTAATTTATTTTAATTTATTTTAATTTATTTTAATTTATTTTAATTTATTTTAATTTATTTTAATATAAATTACAGTCATCGTTCACTCACCCATTGTTGATACACCTTGTATTAATATAGATGCATATAATATATATTTATTAAATAGTTACAGAGAGTGAATGCATTTAAAAAACTTGTTGGCTCTGTGCGAAACCCAAGAAAAATTTTTGGCAGTTAATGTGTTAACATAAAATAGATCTTAAAATGAAAATCCAAATATATCTAAAATACATTTTTTGGATGTCACATAACCTAGTGTGTAAAGTTCTAATATACTCGATGGTGGATGTCATATAGTCGGGTGAGTAAGTTTTAATATACTGAATGTTGGATGTCAGACAGTCGAGTGAGTAAATTCTAATATACTCAATGGTGGATGTTAGACAGTCGAGGGACTAAAATATTTAATATACAAAATATACAAAACCAACTGACGCGAGCGCCACCTTCACATCTATACACTGGAACTAAATTTATACACAAAATTGAAAATCAAGCATTATAACATCCAGCTGAAATTTGTTTGGTACTCTTTTAAACCTCCCCTATGATGTTTGAACCCCAAAAACGTTGTGACATCCGAATTTGGATGTCACATCGCAAACGGATGTTACAAAGATAGCAACATTTTTGCGACATGATGTCACAAGGTCGGCAGGACGAATCTATATATATATATATATATATATATATATAAGCGGTACTCATAACAAATCAATAAAAATAATTTACAAAAGAATCGATATTATTAAAAAATATTAGCACAAAAATTTAGAATTTATAAAACCTATCATTGCAACGTTTATTAAAATTATTTGTGTATAAAAATAATGTATGTTTTTAATTTAAAAAATATATGTATTGGTCGACTGAAAAATTAATTTTTGACGGTTTTCTATAAACATCTCATATTAGAAACATTCATCCATTGAAATATCTCAAAACTAATAAAATAATATAAATCAAAAGCATTTCTATTGACATTTATTTGATACGCTACTGGATAATAAAACTAACAAACCCCGCTCTTCCCCTCCTAACAACTGGCTTGTATATGTTGCTTTCAAACAAACGCAATGTAAATTTTTGACATTCAGTTATCTATTGTTATTTATTTATCTGAGATTCCAACGACCTAATTCATTTGTTTGGAATGCCTAATTGGTTGCATAAGCATTAGGTGCACTATATGAAAATGGCGTACCTTTATCTTCTTTTTTAGAATTAAGAATGATAAAATATTGTATACAGCGAAAGGAATGCATTACTGTATTTAGAAGAAATAACTCGTATATATTGGGCTTTAGTGGCGTTTTTTCGAATTCATAACGGAAAAGTCAAAATTGACAACAAGTGGACTCCCCTTTATAAAAATAGAATATTCTGCATTGCATTTCTCAAACTGAAATAAAAACAATAAACACGTAGTTCACTTATGTCAGGGAAGAGAGAGGTGTTTTCTGTATCATGAGAGTAAAAATAAGAGAGGTTTTTGTGAGCGTTTAAATTAATTGATGGTGATGGAATGTTGATGTGGGCAATGGGCCTGGAAATGGAAACGATCACGGAAGTAGGTGTAACTTATTTGTGGTTGTTAACAGTCCAAATGGACTGAATTTTTTTAAATTAGAAGATGGTACAACGGATTTTATGAAAAATGAAGCTTAGTAATCAGGAGAAAAAGGAATTGGACAAATTCACCAAATTTCTAGCACTGAAATGTACTCAAATCATTGTGCAGTCAAGACTTGGAGATAAAATATCAACTCATTGCAGATCACAAACAACAGGCACTGACTGGGTAATACAACACCTTGAAGTTTGTTAATATAGTTTTTTAATAACCTATTTTGTTTCAGTTCAACTTGAACATCAGTGACTTGCCAGATGTTTTGGCCGAAACCAAAAGGGTTTTAAATGGTGAAATAATTTCTTCAAATGTGCCTCTGTGTGTTGAAATATCTTTACGTACTTCTGAAGGTGACCAGATGGTTCTAGAGAACTGGTGTTTAAGTATGTTGGCTGAACAATGTGACCCAACTACAAGAATTGTGCACACTATTTACAATCGGATGGGAACACTATTAAAATCACTAGTGTCTATAACGCGAGTGGTTCCTGCTTACAAATTGTCTCGAAGACAAGGACCAGATTCTTTCGTTATTTGTTATCGCATCTTTTTGGGTGAACCGCTTATTCAGTGTCTAGGGGAAGACTTTAGTCAAGTTAAAATTGGCCAGATATGCACTCCCATTGGCACTTTAAACCTATCCGTTTCATATCGTACTAAAATGACTATTTCACCCACACAAACTGGACGGCAAAATTCGATTATGCTGAAAAGTGACCACTTCAATGCAAAATTAAGTCCTAAAAATAGGAAGCATAACCAAAAGTAAGTAATGTTTTTATCATATAAAACTACTGAATTTTAAATTTGTAAAATGTTACTAATGTTAGATAGGAGATATTGTATGGGTGGTACTTAAAAGACGGTGCCATTCTTCTTTAGTATGATATCCCATAATGTTGACTTAATCGTACAGTATGCAGCATATCCTGTGCAAGTGCATTTTCCTTACAATCTATGAGCCTTTTATTAAAAAAAAATATGCTAAAAAGGAATGGATCCTGTAGCTAATTCATTATACCATTCTACTATTAAGTATAAAACTGTTTATCCCACTAATATAAAATAACTTAAAATTTTATACCTACTTATTTGCTTTTTGATATCCAAAAAGTATTTTTATTTATTTTATTTTTTTAATAATATAGGTACCTACCTAGTTAAGCATCATGATACTATCTGGGAGAAAAAAAAATCAAATATAAAAGTTGTTGCACTTTCTTAAAATAATTCTTATGTATGAAGTTTTACAATATTTTTAACGGGATTTTTTTTTGTTTTATTTGTATTTTGTACACCGCGGGCAGCTTGCAATACCTTTCTATTAATTACAATCCAATCATAGAACTGTTTATATATGTTTTACATATATGTATTTGAAATTTGTACATACCTATAATTCAAATTTAACATGAGTAGTTGCACTAAGGCGAGTTTTTGACCAAAGTTCATTAACTACGCTGAAAACATGGTGGACAGCATCATTTTAGATATGAATCGATTGAGTGAATAAAATAAGCTATAAAAGATTCGGGAGTATATAGCTACGGTCCTGGAGCAGGGAGATTTTAAATATGAATTGTCATTTTCTGGGAGAATCCTGGAATTTCGGGAGAGTTGGCATCACTAGGTATTAGGGTGTATATTAGTATGGGACATTTTTTTTTAGTAAGTTTAGTTATTGTGTTTACGGTAAATATAGACATTAATCATTAAAAATTTTGAGTTTACAGCCTTTCCTTGCATGTACCACATGTGGTACATGATGCCTCTAGTGTAAAGTTTTGTCCAGGGGGTCGATTCTCGACTCTTAGGAATTTTTTCCTATAGGAATTATTAACATTTTTCTATACATCGGAAATTTATGACATTTTCCTACATATAGGAAAATGTCGCAAATTCCTAAAGGAAAAGGTTCTTGCAAGTCGAGAATCAGACCCCCAGGGGGCGTTGTGTACCACTAGTGACACATGACTAATAAGTAGGATCAGTATGCCCTATATTTCTAAAAGTTTCAATTAAGTTTTACTGCATAGATTAAGTTTTAATTAACTAAAGGCCAGTCTTTCCTAAAAGTAAAAATAAAACAAAACATTAATTTTTAATTATATTTACCCCTCAATAATTTTCATATTTAAAGGTACATGGGGATTTATTACCCACTTCTACAGCTGTCACCCAAATATCAAAGCTTTCATTCAGAAACACAGATTTAGAAGATGTGTAATATTTATATGCTGGTGTACCATCCATGGTACATGATGACTATCAGTGAGATTTGCTGTGTACCATCAATGGTACATGCCGTTGTGAACATGTTAACTATATTTATCTCATATACTTAGCTAAGTACCTATTTAACCTTATTTTTGTAATATTTTCCATAATTTTAATTCAATTTTTAAAAATCAAATAATATAAAAGTGAATTTCTTATTTGCACCTCTAACTGTATACTTAAATATAGGCAGTGAGTGTAACATTTTGATCATACTTTTTTTTCATATTTCACTGACGTAACCAGACAACTCCACCAAAATTTAAAGTCCTAGGTACCATATCTACTTAAAAAAATTTAATAACCATTTATTCCACACTCAACTATTCACTGTTGGGTTCTAATTAACAGTGCTGTTCCTAAAGTAGCACTGGGAAACAGTAACAAAGCCTACACAGACCACGAGGCTAATGACCTTAGCAGTCGATGCTGATGACACCAAATTTAAAAAAATAAAACCATTTATTTCAATAACATTTTCTGGTTGCCTAGAAAATGTTTTTAATGAATTAGAAGGGAAGGGATATAATTTTAAGACTATTTCTTTGTTTCATTTTTGATTTAGAATGCGAATCACAATCCAAAACTGCACTAAATAAAAGAAAGTTTATAAAACGACCTTGTCACTAATTACCTACTACCTAAATATAGAATTAAGAATCCTTGGACTCTGTTTTTTTAGTCCAATTTTGAAATTTACAATTTGCATTAAAGTTTGCAAAGAAATTGGACTTTGTATACCTAACTGAATAAAAAGATTGAACAATTTCTGTACATATATAAACATATTTTTCAAATAAGTATATAAATTTAAAATACTTTTTTATACATTCTAACATTACCACATTTGAGATTATAGATAATCCATTGGTAGGTAGGTACCTACACTTTTTTTATTTCATTGAAACAAAATTACAATATGGATGTTTTTCTGTAAATATAGTCAAGTTATCTCAAAAAATGGCCTTGTGTATTACTTGGTATTTATAGTCTGATAATTTATCAAGTCAAGTACATAAACAATACTTTGGAATTTAATCACTTAAAATAATCTTAATTAGAACATGGAATAGTATAGCAAACAAAAGAGAAGAAAGCCAAAACCATTATTTGGTCTTAATATTGATTGATACCTAAGTATGTTGCCTTTAATTATATAAAATGGAAATGTTCTTTAAAATAACTCAAATAATTAATCCAAACTATACTTTATGAAATAAGCATGAAGGTAGGTATAAAATAAATAAGAGTAGGGTTTGATATTAACTGAAATTATTGTTACTCGATTAAAAACTAAGCAACCTGCTTGACATTCCTAAAATAGTTATGGTTGGTAATTGGTTAATATGATAAGTATAGACATTCATATTTAAAAATATAAGTATATGTTTTTGAAATTCCTGTGACTATTCATGTTTCAAATAAATTATTTAATAATAAGTGTAATTACGACAATCATTGTACCAAGCAAAATAACATCATTGTTAAAATTACTCATAAGATTAATAATGTCAAGCAGATTTTAGTAAACAAATATTACATAATAATTACCTCAAGATTACATTTGGTTTCAAACAGGTAGTTTAATTATCTACCTGAATTTTTTGTTATTCTTTAAATCCAAGCCACAATTTATAATAGCTCAATTTAACAAAAATTAAAAAAAAATCATATATAATTATTTTATCAAATAGGTATTAAGACAACTAAGTAGGTATCTAATTTTAAATGTAAGTTAATAATATATAATAAGTAAGTACTTATTTTTATTTTTTGAGAAACATATCTATGGTCTAATTCTAATACCCCGTATCTGCAAAAAATTAAAATTTCACTTTTTTGCACTATTCGTTTATACATTTACTCTGTTATTAGTAAAATACATGGTATTTGGCTGCGGACAATATTTACATGAGAAATTTGACTATTATAATAACCCACATTGCAATCATATATACTATTGAACTAAAAAAAGCTTCTCCTGTAAAATGTCAATCCATGCAGTTAGTGGGTACAGAAGGTATATTTACTGATAGAATAATAGATATCAGAACTAAATAAATATATTATTTTCTCCAATGGTTTGATTTAGGAATGAAGTAAGATTTCAGAGCAAAGGGTATACTATTTCTTGCGATCTTTATATGTAAGGAGGAGTTATTGTTAAAAATTACATTAGTGTATTTTGAAGTGAGGCTGAAGCTAGCAGACAAACCGCGCGGCAGTTCCTTAATGTTTTGAAATTGTTATTCTGCAAAATTTTTGGTGTAGGTGGACTTTAGTATCATGAAAGTTTAGAAAAAAATTAAAATTAGTGTATTTATTGAAAAAAATTGATTAAGTAAATTCAAATTATTAGTTAAAATAAGATATTACACCAAGACGGGGACGAAATAAACACATTTACAATGCGATTAGAAATAAAAATTTTATACCAAATATTCATTAGATTTTTGTTAATTGATTAAACAAAAAATTATGGCCGAGAAATGATTTAAAATATATTTTTTTGGTCTTTTTAAAGTCAGGTGTTTTGTCGTCAAAAGACTATGAGAACAAAGTGACAAAAAAAACACGAGATTCCAAATACAATTTTTATACCAAAGATTCAATAAACAAGTATCATTAAAAAAAAAAATAAATTATCAAATAGCAAGACCTCTAATTACATTTTTTAGGTCTTTAAAAATGCGCGGTTTTGCTGAACAATTTTTTAATAGGAATGATTCAGTACATTAGGATCATTCAAAAACACAAATCATTACATAGCAAGACCTCAAAATACGCTTTTAAGTCTTTTAAAAAGCGCGGTTCCGTGGAGAAACCTTACTTAATCAAAATGACAAAAACTAATATTTAGCAGGAAAATTCAGGCATAATTTTTAGGACAAATGATTCAATACATTATTATAATTCAAAAAAATAATAAATCATTACATAGCAAGATCTCTAAATACGTTTTTTAGGTTTTTAAAATTATACCTGGATTTTCGTGCTAAATATTGGTTTTCGTCATTTTGATAAAATGAGGTTTACACCAGGGAGTCGCGCATTTTTAAAGCCTAAAAAACGTATTTAAAGGTATTGCTATGTAATGATTTGTTGTGTTGAATGATACTAATGTATGGAGTCATTCATACTAAAAATTATACCTGGATTTTTGTGCTAAATATTAGTTTTTGTCATTTTGATAACGTAAGGTATATCCGCGGAATCGCGCATTTTTAAAGACCTAAAAAATGTATTTGGAGGACTTGCTATGTAATGATTTATTCTTTTTTTGAATTATAATAATGTATTGAATCATTCATACTAAAAATTATGCCTGGATTTTCGTGCTAAATATTGGTTTTTGTCATTTTGATAAAGTAAGGTTTATCCGCGGAATCGTGCATTTTTAAAGACCTAAAAAACGTATTTGAAGGTCTTGCTATGTAATGATTTATTATTTTTTTGAACTATAATAATGTATTGAATCATTCACACTA